CTCCGTCGGGCCTGTCGCCCACATGGGCGCGCTCTTATAGTCAGACACTCATGAACAGACGCTCAATACGGCATAATATAAAACATGATATGCACATATGAGGAGCTCCGCGCAGTGAGAAATTGCTGTTGACAAAAAGTCGGATCCACAACCCTCTCGAAACCAGACTTATCGAGATCCCGTGGGGATGCAATTTCCAAACAAATTTGCCCCATCGCCAACCTTAGATATGAACCGATGCGCCCGCATTCGAATGTCCAAAATCGTCAGATTTCAAATATGCCTTGCGACAAAAAGAAACGGAATGCACACGCGCGCCTCGTCGCGCGCGCATGCCGGAATCATTCCAGATAACTCGCGGTTTCTAGAGATTGCAAAATTGAGCGTCACGAGCATATATATATATATATATATATATATATATATATATAGCACATGGGCTCGCAACAAAAGTTTTCCAAAAAAACCTGCGCCCACGCTTGGGCGAATTACGAAAAAACTGATTTGTTCAACATGTGTCCACCAAGTGCTGCCAAACGGGCCTCTCGCGCGCGCATGTCGAAATCGCTGGAACGCCCTTGCGCGCGTGCTGCCGCAAGACTCTATTGCAACAGGCGGGACGGAATGCACGCGCGCGCGTCGTCGGGCGCGCATGCCGGAATCCGTCCAAAAACCTCGGTTGTGTAATAATTTAAAACAACGAATGGTCCGAAAACAACTTAAGAATACACGGTTGTGAAACATCCGTGTTCAAATAATGTTTGCGCGAGCTGTGGCGAGCTCACTCAGCAAATTACCCTGGCGACGTACCCAACCCTTGCGCGATGCGGGGCAGAAGTACATCAGGATTGCTACAACGGGGGCGATGACGTAACATGAACGCATGTGGTGTTGCGAGCAGCAATCGGCAGGCTCGCAAGCCCCCGATCAAGATGTAAAGGGCGTCGTAGTGGTTGCAAACGCAGCCCCCCACAAGGACGGCGAGGTATCGTTCAGATCCCCGCGGTGCCTCACTCCGCAGGACCCACCAGCAGCCCTCGAAAGTGGCGACAATGTCGCAGATCGCGGCCCCCCAGGGACGGCGAGGTCTCGCACAAATCCCCGCGGTGCCTCAGTCCGCATGACCCACCGACAGCCCTCGAAAATGGCGACAATCTCGCAAATCGCAACCCCCCAAGGACGGCGAGGTCCCGCTCAGATCCCCGCGGCGCCTCAGTCCGCAGGACCCACCAGCAGCCCCCGAAAATGGCGACGATGTCGCAAATCGCAGTCCCGCCAAGGAAGGCGAGGTCCCGTTCGGATCCCCGCGGCGCCTCAGTCCGCAGGACCCACCAGCCCTCGAAAGTGGCGACAACGTCGCAGATCGCAGCCCCCCAGGGACGGCGAGGTCCCGCTCAGATCCCCGCGGAGCTCAGTCCGCAAGACCCACCAACAGCCCTCGAAAGTGGCGACAGTGTCGCAGATCGCAGCCCACCAGGGACGGCGAGGTCCCGCTCAGATCCCCGCGGTGCCTCAGTCCGCAGGACCCACCAGCAGCCTTCGAAAGTGGCGACAATCTCGCAGATCGCAGCCCTCAGGGAAGGCGAGGTCTCGCTCAGACCCCCGCGGCGCCTCAGTCCACAGGACCCACCGTCAGCCCTCGAAACTGGCGACCGTGTCGCACATCGCAGCCCACCAGGGACGGCGAGGTCCCGCTCAGATTTCCGCGGTGCCTCACTCCGCATGACCCACCAGCAACCCTCGAAAATGGCGACAGCGTCGCAGATCGCAGCCTACCAGGGACGGCGAGGTCCCGTTCAGATCCCCGCGGTGCCTCAATCCGCATGACCCACCAGCAGCATTCGAACGTGGCGACAGCGTCGCATATCGCAGCCCCCCAGGGACGGCGAGGTCCCGCTCAGATCCGCGAGGTGCCTCACTCAGCTGGACCCGCCAGCAACCCTCGGCGCGCACACACACACACACACGAGGTACGCACAACACAGGAGGAAACAAGACGGATGCGGGAGACGGGAGGCGGGGAAAGAGCGTTGGGGAACAAATGTTGTTCAACGTTACCATCAAAATATACCATGCGGGCCTCTCGCACTGAATTTCAAACACACCCGGACGACCTTGCGAGCGCACCCGGTGGCACGATCCATGTCAAACAGTACCACGTGGGCCGCTCGCGCGCGTCGGCAGCGGACAAATATCGAACTCCTCCCACACCTTTCTTCACCGACACGAAAATATCGTCAACGTTATCAACGGGCGTGGTCAACATCGGCACCGTGATTGGCCTTGCCGTCGTCGTCGCTATTATCGTGGCCATCACCGCGACTCTCACTAATCATCGTGTCTACCGTTGTCGGCGTCGCCACGATACCGCGCCAACCCACGTCACCGACTTGCATTGAATTTACCGCTGGAAGTGCCCGGCGGTCAGCGTCACCGCGGCCGCGTCGGTCGCGCTGCACCAACTGGCCGTCGCGCGCGCGAGCATGCGCGGCCGCAAAGATGCGACAGCCAACGCCAAGCGCTCATCGCAATAGCCGCCGCATGGGTTTTGCAAACCAAATTGCTGGTGGGTGACTGGGACCTCTGCGCAAGCAGAGGACCTGGCGACTTCAAGTCCGGCAGCCTGATTTTTTTGTCGAACAAAATGTAAAAATATGCCCCAACCCCCGGGCTTATGTGTAACCTTCCTGTATTGCAATTTAAATTCGATTCTGCCTCATCGCCTATCCGAACAATGAACTGAATTCGTACCATCTCAAGGGCACTGGTATCGCCCCCCCCCGTCATCTTTTGCAGCAACACTATGCGCGCGCACGCGTTGATCAAAATTCAACAGTTCTCAAAACTCATTGACATACTGTGCAGCGAAATGCACACGCGCGCGTCGGCGGTGCCGTAGACATGTCAGAGTGGACTGCCCAAACAACCTGCACACGGTTTCGCAACACGGGCGTTCAAAAACAACTGCGCTCGTGTCCGGGCGAAATCTCAACATCATGATAACTTGCTACCAAGCGGGGCTTCGCGCGCGCATGCCGAAATCGATCGAACGCCACTGCGCGAGGGTTGTTCGGAAAAAAACGAATCGCAAACAATAGCGGAGTGCGTACGCGCACGTCGTCGAGCGCGCATGCCGGAACCCTTCGAAACAACCTGCGGTTTCGCAGAGGTTGCCAAATCGAGTGTCCACGAAGCGTATAAAGCACAGCGTTTCGCAACATCATATTTCAAAAAAAAGCCTGCGCTCGCGTTCTTGCGAATTCTTCCGAGAATCACACATGGTTTCAACATGTTCGTGGACTTCTGCCAAGCGGGCTTCTCGCGCCGCATGCCCGAAACATCCGAAAATTCTTGCGCGCGTGTTTGGAGGCACGATGCAGATCAAATAACGGCATGCGGGCCATTGTCGCGCGTCGGCCGCGCGCGCATGTCAAACTCCTTCTAAAACCTTCATCGCCGACGTGAGGACGCCGTCATCGTCGTCGGCATGATCAACATCGGCGCCGTCACTGGCCGTGCCGTCGTCGTTGTCAACATCGTCACCAACATTGCAACTATCATAATCGTGTCTACCGTTGTCAACGTTGCCATGATACCGCGTTCGCGTCGGTCGCGCCAAAGTAGCTGGCCGCCGCAGAGCGTGAGCATGCGCGGGCTAACGCGGCCGCAGAGATGCACCAGCCAACGCCAAACACTCATCGCAATCGCCGCCGCATTGGTTTTGCAAACCATATTGCGCGTGGGTGGGTGGGAAGATTGCGCGAGCAGTGGAGTCGACAACTTCAAGTCCAGCAGGGAAAAGTGCATCACATCGAATGCACCACACAGATCGCGCCACACACATTGCACCACATCTTTGGCACCACGCCTAAAATATTGCACCACAGAGATTGCACCACATAGATTGTACCGCGTGTATTGCAAAAAACAGATTGCACGACATGTTTTACAAAGCATGGATTTGCACAACCTGGGTTGCCCCACGTAGCTTGCTCCACATTTGTTGCACAACATAAATTAATATACACGCGCTGTTTGGGGTCCACGATGGCTAACATACAGATCAAGAACATTCAGCGTGAGAGGAACATCGAGACTTGCGCCTAAGGGGGACGACGGCTCTGTCGAGGACGCGGAGGAGACGCAGCGGGAAGGATTAGGAAACAATTACATAAACACAACAGAACGGAGGTCCGCGCGGAGTTCTCGGATCGGCACTGGGGCCCCCTGGCGGCGCCTCCGGCGCCGCGCCTCCAAAGGAGGGGGGTCCAGCGCGGGTCCATGAAATCAGCGCGTACCTCAGAGTTGTTATGTTTATGCCATTGTTCGTTTCCCTAGAACTGGACTCCAGCGCCATGAGAAGATCACCACAGGGGAACTGCTTCACAATTCTAGCCCAGGGGGCCCGTTGCAGGTCCTGGGGCGCCGCACAAGAGCGCGGAGCGAGAACTCCTGCGTAGGGCGGGGAGAGTTCCGCGAGACAAGGGAATACGACGGGGAGAAAAAGCGCTACGAGATCCAGGATAATGTGTTGCTATCTGGAGAGCTACATCCATAAACGTACACGGTTGAGACGTGCATGTTTTTCGCGCACAACGCAAATGAGTAACACGCGCGGTTTGGAAGACGACGCGCGTGTAACTGGTACGCTTGATCACTCCCATGACTTGCTCCTGGGGCCCCCGAAGGACGCCCCCGAAGGACGCCCCTCGGTGGCCGTTCCCGAATTATCCCTCTCAGTTGGTGGCCCCTGGGCCCCCGACGCCCCCATAGAAGCGGTATACGGTAGAGAGCCCGTGCCAATGCGGGCCAAGCCCACGGTGGACCGGCCCTCAGGAGGAACGGTATCCACCGCCACCGCGCCTCCATGGACCCCGACCTGGGACCGGATCTTGGTGGACATCGACTCCCGTCTGGGCCGCGAGGCCAACCCGCCAGAAGGTCTGGGCCAAGGACGGGCCTGTGGAGGCATAGAGGCCGCAGGGACCACCGCGGGGCTCCTCGGCCGTGACCTCGTCGCCCTCCTCGCCGTCCGCGCCACGACGCCTTCGCTTCCGGGCGAAGTCCATGTTCCTCGCGGCCGAGGGCGGCCGCGCGGGAGGCGACCTCCACCTAGTCATTGCGGTACGATCAATATCAGCCACGCGGATGCGAGGCACATGGAACGCGCCAACTCTGGGGGTACCCGTGCCGAGGAAGCAGAGTGCATGGTGGCAAACGTGCCCAGAACCGAGAGATGCAGTTCCTTGCCTCATAAGCTCATCCTAAAAACTAATTGCGGGCTGCCCATCCTCATCCCGCATCCAACAATCGATCGAATACGACCGGAATGCGCTCAAACATGTCAGGCAAGCACGCCGTGCGGTGTCCGCAGGATGGCGCGGTCGATCTTCAGGCGCGAGTTGGCGTCGTCAACGGCAAAGCCGAGCTTGCCTACGCCAGGGAGATCTGGAGCGGTAACGACGGGCCGAGGGCCGAGCCACCATTTCCGAAGCTCCGGTACCTGCTCTAACGTTTGCATGGGGCGTGCACCCCCAGGAGTCGTTTGTCGTCCTGGAAAACACTGGCTGGAATGTCGACGCTCACTATGAGCATGATAGATGCGCCACGCGGGCCGTTCCCCCTGGTACCGCGCGCAAATTCTACAGCCTCGAATCCCGCTCCGTGCGTGAAGGGCTGAACCCTAGGCCCCATCACACATCGCCCAAGAAACATATGTTTCCAAATCTTCGATGTCCGTTCTGAATTGCCCCCCCCTCTTATTTTCGAGCCATGAGGGCCAAGAGGCCTCCCAGACTTCTCCAATGAGTCCCATGAGGGCCGCACGACCTCCTGAATGAGCTCCGAGAGTGCCTCCCAGATTCTCCACGGAGACCCGAAGAGAGTCCCTAAGACGGCCGTAGTCGTCCTTCAAAAATCTCCCTTTGCACAATATCTCAAAAACCCGACTTCTCATCCTCGATGTCATCGTCCGTTCCTTCCCTCCTCCCTTCATGCCTCCTCCCTCCTCCTCCTCATCATCATCATCATCTCCCTCGTGCGGCATTCCTCCTCCTCCTCCTTCTCCTCCTCTCCGTTTCTTTCCCCTCCTCCTTCTCCTGTTGTTTCTTTTCCTTTTCTTCCTCCTCCTCTTCCTCTCCTACCCCCAAGCTGGTGCCAGAGGGTCGAGAACAGCTCAATATAGCCTCCGACAGACCTCCAAGAGGCCTCAAAACAGCCTCAAGATGGCGCAAGATAGCTGAGCATGGCTCAAGGTAGCCTCCGACAGCCTCTAGCCGAGCATGGCTCAAGATAGCCTCCAAGAGGCACCAAGAAAACCCCCGATTGCGTCTGGATAGGCTGGTGGGAATAGCGAAGTCCTTTGGAACTTCGTAAGCCGCCCTGTGCCATGAAGAGTAGGCCTCGGAAACTCGCGTCGGTGTAAGTCAAAACCAGCTCAGAGTGGGCCCGCCGAACCGCAGATGTCGCGGGGCCAACCACGGAAAAAAAAACGACACCAACAGAAAAACCGAGAAGGAGGGGCGAAGAGGATGCGAGAGCTTCTTCGAAATGTCGATTTGGCAATAAGGGGGGGCGACACCGAGGGGGAACGACAGCTTGAGAGAGAACGCGGCGACTGAGTAGTGCACGAGTGGTGGAACAGATCCGCTGGTTCTTCTCCATCATGTCGGCAACGGTCTGGGGCGGCGCGGGCAGGACAGATGCAAAACCTTCCAACTCTCCTACTCCTGCTCCCTCTTCCTATATCCTCCTCCTGCTCCTCATCCTCTACCCCGTATCCTGCTACACTCATCGTGCCAACATGAGGACGCCACACAAAGAACGAAAGGGCCTTGCCTCTGGCCACGGTGAGCGTCGTTCACGAACAGGTTCGCCGACATGATCTAAGGAACGGCCTGGATTTGGACGAAGAGAATATATTGACACAGCGTGCTGTTGATACGTTCTGGGGTTTCCAGGATTTCTGACAGCTTTCGCGCGGGGTACACTTTGCGTCGAGTATTGTCTACTCTGGCTGGCGCCGCTGGTCGGTCACCTATTCGCAATCATCGAGTGGTCGCCCGTACGGGACTTGTTGGCAATTGCTGACCCCCCTTCTCGTTGCCGAGCGCGGAGGAAACAGTGGCGCACCGTCCCATCGCCCGCCGCCGCGCACCGCGCGCCTCGGCGGATTTCCACGGTGACCTGGCGGACACAGCATGCGCGACTCTCGAAAATTCTCCGGGGGTAAAATGAACAAATCCGGGAACATGTTTGAACATGTCCGGCCTACTTTTTGAAAAATACCAGGGTCGTTTTGGAAATTTCCGGAATCAATTTTGAAAAATTCCGGAATCCATTTTTGAACATTTCCGGATTTCAGCAGTCAGATGTCCTGCGCGGCGGGCGCATTCCACCCCTCAAAACTGTTTCTGAAAATTCCCGGGTTCCTTTTTGAAGAATTCCCGAACCGCTTGCGCAAACAAAAGCGGAAGCGTTCTCTGACACATTCTACAATCCAGAAATAATGTCCGGGCGGTCCGACGGGCGCGGCCGGCTGATTCACGCGCCGCGCCGCGCGCGATTGGGCGCAGCGCGCGCCGCGCGTTGCGCCCGCGAACAGCACTCGAAGGGGCTACCTCGAAAACAGCGCCACGGCAGCTGCGACTCGCGGACTCCCCAAGAGCAACACAGCATGCAGCTTGGAATCTTCGAGGGCGTTCCGATGCGCGAAAAATACACCGCGAACATCACGCAAAGAACCTGCGCGACGGAATGCGCTCGCCCATTCTTCCCTGGAACCCGCGCGGAAGAACAGGAAAACCTGGAATTCTGAAAAACTATCAATATCAATACTTCATACTCCTCTGATGGATACCAGCACCTCCTGAACCCAATATGGTCCTTACATCAGCGTTTTGACAGTGCTCCTGCTCAGCTGCGAAAAGCCAACGAACTACCGTCGCAAGCATGCGGTTGAAAAACGAGCTACGGCGCACGCTTCGCAGATTCGACGAACACACACTTCGCCGCGCCGCATCCCGATTCGATCACCTCGGTCAAATGCGACCGTACTGGACCGACCCAAGTTTGCAACGAACACGCGGAGGGGTCGGGGAGGCAACGAGAACTGCTGCAGCACGGGTCGGGGAGGATGCCAGACCCTCCCTACCGAGGCGCAACGCGTCTCTCCTTACCAACGGTCAGCACAAAAACACGCCGCTGGGGCGCCGCGCGAGGCAACCTCGCGGTTTGGGGCCAGCGAGTGCTCTGCCGGGCGGGACGGGGCCATGCCTCGTGCACGGTGCAGAGGGGGAGCGGATGAGGACGCGAGAAAGAGAGAGAGAGAGAGGGAGGGAGAGGAAGGGAGAGGAAGGGAGAGGAAAGGGAGGGAGGGAGAGGGAGGGAGGGAGAGGGAGGGAGGGCGAGAGGGAGGAGGGAGAAGGAAGCGAGAGAGAGAGAGGGAGGGAAGCAGGGAGAGGGAGAGGGAGAGACCGAGGCTGCGCACGTGGCGGGCGCCCGCCTGGCGGACGGCGCGGGTGTCGCGGCCCTTTCCGGGGGGCGTCTTCGGAGGGGCCCCCCTCCAGGGAGGCGAGGCCTTCCAGAGACCCTTCGGGGCCCCTGAGGGGCCCCTTTGGCGGGCCCCTTCCGAAGCTGTCTGAAGGGGCCGCCCCCCTCCCTGGGTGGACTCCTCCAGGTAGCTTCATAGCGGGGCGTCCGTGGGCGGACGGCGCGGACATCGCGATCACACGGGTGGGGGCAGCGGGGCAGGGCACCGGTAACATTCGCCCGTGCGTCCTGCCAGCGAAGGCGTCTGCACTGGCCGCGGGACCCAGAGCGCAGTCGGGGCGCACGAGCAGCTCAGGCTCGCCCTGCATGCAGGAGAGAGAGCACAAGAAGGCGAAGGCGAGGCCACGAGTCAGACTGATAGTAATGAACACACTGAGTGGTTCAGAGGTCCGCGCAGATGTCTTGGATCGGCGCTGCACTCCCCACCACTGGCAGGCAGAGCACTCCAGGGGCGGCGCTGGAAGCGCTACTCCAACTGCGCCTGCTCAGGGGTTCCAATGAGTGGATCAACGGCGCTTGACACCCCTGGTGCCTGAGGTTGTGCCAGAAGGGTCTAGCGTCCAGCGCCGATCCAAGACATTCGGTTTGTGTTTACGCTTGCCGATTCTATCATGTCTGCAGCCAAGTGAACCTCAGCGGGCGTTGTCCGATACCCCAGCGTCGAGTGGACCCGCAGACATCGACATCTACTAACTATATTGGAATGTCTACGCACATGGGGGGCAAAGAAGCACCCCCATCCCCCACCTAACCACCCTCCCCAGAGGAGAGGAGGGGGGACATGTGGGGAGGTGTAGACTTGTCGTGCCCCTTCTGCGAGACAGCCTCGCCATCGGGAGCCGAAGCTTGGCGGCCCAGCCCAGGGCGGCCCCGCTGAGCGGTGACTGTGCTCGGGCTCGATGAGGCTCGGAAAGCTCCGGGGCGAGGGCGGCCGGGCACGCGGCGGACGCCTCCTCCACCGGCCTGCCGAAGTAGCGGCCGATGTGCTTCTGGTTGTTGAACCTCCACACCTGGGAGGACCCGGGGCCGCACATCGAGGGGGCGCGGAGGCCGAAGAGGGGGGGGGGGCAGAGGGCAGAACCACGGGCAGTGGATCGGTCTTCGGGGACCTCGGCAGGCGCTGGACATGGATAACCGCATGAAACAACTAAGAACCCCCCTGGGCCACCGTTAGCACCGAAACGAAAATAACAATTACGTGGAGGCGGATTTAGCGGAACGATACCTTTACCATCGCACCAAGCCGCAACAAATAAAAAATGATTGCCGACCCCCGTCGGCACAGCTCTCACACGCTTCGTAGCCCCATCGGGAAATCTCGTGAAGGCCCCAGTGGCTCCGCTCGCATGGCGCCGCTGCGCCCGAGCGGGATCTTGAATTACTGGACCACGTGACAGGATGGCTCCAGGGGCCAATTGGCGCCAAATGTCAGGCTAACGCTTCAGGGTTCTGGCTGCGTTATCGCTTCACTGGAAGGAGGAGGGGTCGTAATTGCTTCACGAGGTTGTTCCCTCCATGGTCCGGAAATGTCTTCATCCTTGTTCACTGCCTGCGGTCCCCAACGATCGACCCAAATGCCTGCCTGCGGTCCATGTTCCATGTTCACGAGGACCCTAAAGATCGATCCTACAAGCGGTGGTTATGGACAAATCCCCGCCTCGAAAACTAGGGTGAGAATGATGTCATGATGCGGTTCTAGAACGTTCCAGACATTCCAGAATATCTAGCAACCCTCGTCTCTGGAGTCCGCGCGGGGCAAACTCAAAACCTGGAAACGGTGGTCGTGACTTCTTGCTACTCTGCAGGACTGAGAGGGCAGGGACCAAAAGCACGCCGCGAGGGGTCCAGCCGCGACCCACTCTCCTCCTGCCACCGCCCACTGATTTCTCGCGTCGTGACAGAAATCACGACGGAAAGAAACAACAAATCTTTGGCCTGTGAAGGCCCGTACCAGGCCCCGGGACCGTCAAAAACCACTCAGGATGAGAAGCAAGTCACCATCAAATAGGTCCAGACCTCTGGGGGTCACGTTGCGAAAATAGAAAATGGATTGTCCTCTCTCTAGCTCCTTTTCCTCATCATACGCATCCACCCGCTTGCCCTCCTCTTCCTCTGCCGAATCCTCATCCCCCCTTCACCCCGTGTTGCTCGTCCTAACAGCCTCCTTTTCGCACCTGTCGTCCTGAAGTCACCGCCGAGCTCTGGCTGCTACCACGGCAACCTCTGAACTTCCTCTTGCTGCTGCTCCTCCTGCCCCTCCTCAAGCTCCTGCTCCTCAAGGTCATCCCCACATGCCTGAAGCTTACCGTTGAACCTCCCCCCTCTCCGCAGCCTTGGATAATCAGGGGCCAAACTCCTCTGGCGCACGGCGGACTCCTGCCACACCGTCAGGGCAGGACCGCGCGGTCTGGCTTCTGCCACCCAACAAGATTTCCTGATACTGAGGCATGTCTGCTGCCAAGGGAATGCCGCAAAGGCTTTCGGGAGTCGGGCTTCTTCGATCTCGAACGCCCACGGAGCTTCCCCGACTGGAACCCTCCCACACGAGGCCAGAGTAGGCAAGGTCGGATGGTCGCACGGCGACGCCAATGCGTCGGTAAGGACGAAGGAAGATCAGGCTCCACATCGCGCCGCCGATGTCTCGACGATGCGGCGCGATCCTCCGACCCCGTCCACTCCAGCCGCATACCCCTGGAGGTCCCCGTCAGGCCTGAGCTATCCAGGGGTCGAGCGGTCTCCGATATCTGCGGAGAAGGAGCAAGACCAGCAAGGCAAGGCCATGAAAGAAGCGGTTCCTGGCGATAGAAGGTCCTGGACCCTGGAGATTATCACTGGGACCAAACCTTCGTGCTGAGACGTTTGTTGACGGCCCCGAGGCCGCAGGAATTGGCCTCCAGAAGCCAAAAACTGAGAACAACCCAAAAGGTCCCAGGGCCCTTTCCCTCGGAAACTCGATCCTTCATACTGGGATGAGGACGGAACCGTGTCTGGGCCCCCGTCGTGGAGCCCTGCCGCCCTGTGAACGCACTATTTGCATTATCGGGGGGCCTGGTCTACACGACAGATCGCAAACCCAGACCACCGACGTCGTGACTAATTCCACAACGTGGTCCTCAAAAGGTCTGGACATATTTCCCGGGACCACTTCTTCATCCCGAATCCTTTTGCTGACGGTCCCGGGGCCCGGTGAAAGCCTTCAGACGCAAAACACGTCCAAAAACTTTCTGTCGTGATTGCTTCGCGACGCGGGGGGTCTCGCCCTCCTCCCGAAACCTCCGACGATTTGCGTGTTTTTCCCCGTCGCTGGCCCCCGAAGATCTCAATCCAATCACCAGGATAGGCTTTTCATCCCGAGTCGTTGTCTGATGGTCCTGGGTAATCAACGAAGTCGGAGGTCCCACTCTCATTTGAAACAGTGTAGAACTGAGTCCGAAGACTATGTCTCGATCCGCACCGTCGCATGTAGCACGCGTGCAGCGGCCCCACGCAGGCCGCGCACTCACCCCGGCTGCGCGCACGCGCGAAACTTTCGATTGTCTCGATGTCTGCGCCCTCTCCAGTTGTGAGCTCACTGCCCTTGTCGCCGTGCGCCCTGCCGCAACGACGAAGTACCCCGACCCCACGACGGGGTTTGTTTGAGGACTTCCTTAAAACAATTAGTTTCAAAATCCCAGAAATCGCTCAAACATCGTTCATGAAAAAAACACCATCCGCCGATCCCCGCGTGCTGTTTGTGACAAGGCCTGTGAGATAACTGGCAATATCCCTCCTCCTTTCCCCCCCACCTGGGGTCCAAACTCCCTTGTGGGGTCCACCCCCCCCACCCCCGGGCCTAGAGCTCGCCAGCGCTTCCCCCATAGCCTCCGGAGCCTTCCAACAGTTCCAAGACGGCCCAGGAGGGCCCAAACGAAGCGCCAATATAGTCCAAGAGAGCTTCGACACGGACCAGTATAGTGCCACGACGATCCAAGACGACCCAAGGGGCCCGAAAGATCGCCCCATGACAGCCCATGAAGCCCCGAAGAGGGCTCCAAGACGGCCCAAGAGGACCCAAAGACGGCCCCAGGGGCCCTCACGACGACCCAGGAGAGGCCCAAGAAAGCTTGACAAGGGGCCAAGAGGCGAATACAAACGGACCTTCCGAGCCATTCCCCCCAATGGGCCCAAGAGCCCCCCAGAGGCCCCCGCCGTGCCCCCGAGAGGCATCCTGGAGAGCCGCGAGCTCGCGCCCAGCCTAGCCCACCACGGGTCACAGCACATTCGGCGCTCTTGCTCGCCGGGAGCTGTCGCCGCAACTTCTCGCAGTCTAACGCGCACGGGGCCGGCGCGAGCTTTCCACGGCAATACTCCGGAGACGTGAGGTCAAATTCCAGGGGTCGACCCACGAAATCCCGGTGAAACTCCGGCATGGCTGAAATTTCAAAATCATCGCGCGCCAAACCAATGCGTAGCAAAATCAATCCACGCATGCAGCGCACCACCCTCTCAGGCATCATAGCAACTTCTCCCGGGCGCGCAGTCTCTCCAACTTCTGGCGTTTCCTTCTCTGGCCCGCGGAAGCCGCCGATGCACGGTTGGGGCGCGCGTTCTCGTCGAGGTGCATCGCGCCGAGATTTGCGCCGTTGATGTCGGCGCTGATCTCGCGGATGATGAGCCGCTTTTAGTTCGCGAGCTCCGACGTGGAAAGAAGCTTCATCTGCGCGTGCTTCGTGAGTTTGCCATGTCCAAGTCTGCCGCTGCTGCTGGCGCCTGCCGAGCCCCACGAGACCCTCGTGCGCGTCTAAGAGGCTTCTGAGCCACAGCCCAGGTACAGTGTCTCAGACGACCCACGAGGGCCCAAGGCCGCTCAAAAAGCCCCCAAGACGGCCGAAGGGGGGTCCACGACAACCCCAAGCGTCCGGATGGGAAACCTGGACGGACATGTCGAGCTTCCCACGCCAAGCGCAGCCCAATTTGCCCCCTTCTGCGAGGCCGCCAAAAAACTCCCAAGAGGCCCCCAGGAGGCCCCCAAGAGGTGCAAAAACTGCTTCCAAAACGACCCCGAAACGCCTCCCACGAGGTCCCGTCCGCCATCCGCGTGACCTCAGGCCTGCAGCCCAGACGCGGTGGCTGGATGTGCCGAAAGCTATTCGATAATCCGGCCCTCAGGAGCAACACGCCCCAAGCGCCAGTTCCCCGAGGGGTCGGCGATGTGGCGTAAGCCTTAAGTCGGGCCTGTCCCCCGACAGGCGGATTTTCGACGAACAATTAGTTACGCTACCGAAGAAAACCCACATACCTAGTTTAAGTCGCGTGTGTTCGCAGACCCTCGCCGCCCATCTGAACAATTGCAGTCTTCATCGCCAAACATGGAGGTGGCAGCGCATCCACGGCGATTTTTGGGGGCATGGCTGCCGCGCAGGTCGGGCGGTGCTCTGAATTAGGACTACAGGAGCGCGCCTGCGTGACAGCGCAGGCGCGCCGAGCCGGCTTGAGCCAAGGTGTTTACAGATCTTGACAAGACACAAGTTCCCACCCCCAGCGCACCCCCTGTGGCGTCGAGGAAATGCCACGCCTGCCACGCCCTGGGAGCCTGCAGCGCACAGGGCCCCCACCCCCAGCGCACCCCCTTGTGGCATCGAGGAAATGCCACGCCTGCCACGCCCTGGGAGCCTGCAGCGCACACCTCCGGTGTCGAGGCCCCCACCCCCAGCGCACCCCCTTGTGGCATCGAGGAAATGCCACGCCTGCCACGCCCTGGGAGCCTGCAGCGCACCCCTCCGGTGTCGAGGAAGTGCCACGCCTGCTAGGCCCTGCGACATTGGCGCGTATAGAGACCGCGGTGGGCCCCCACCCCCAGCGCACCCCCTGTGGCGTCGAGGAAATGTCACTCCTGCTAGGCCCTGCGGCATTGGCGCGTATAGAGACCGCGGTGGGCCCCCACCCCCAGCGCACCCCCTTGTGGCGTCGAGGAAGTGCCACACCTGCTAGGCCCTGCGACATTGGCGCGTATAGAGACCGCGGAAGGCCCCAACCCCCAGCGCACCCCCCGTTGTTCGGTCGAGGAAATGCCACGCCTGCTAGGCCCTACGACATTGCGCGTATAACGACCCGCGGCGGGCCCCAACCCCATTGTGGCGTCGAGGAAGTGCCACACCTTCTAGGCCCTGCGACATTGGCGCGATTAGAGACCGCGGAAGGCCCCCACCCCCAGCGCACCCCCTTGTGGCGTCGAGGAAATGCCACGCCTGCTAGGCCCTGCGACATTGGCGCGTATAGAGACCGCGGCGGGCCCCCACCCCCAGCGCACCCCCTTTGGCGTCGAGGAAGTGCCACTCCTGCTAGGCCCTGCGACATTGGCGCGTATAGAGACCGCGGTGGCCCCCACCCCCAGCGCACCCCCTGTGGCGTCGAGGAAATGCACACCTGCTAGGCCCTGCGACATTGGCGCGTATAGAGACGGGCCCCCACCCCCAGCGCACCCCCTGTGGCGTCGAGGAAGTGCCACGCCTGCTAGGCCCTGCGACATTGGCGCGTATAGAGACCGCGGTGGGCCCCCACCCCCAGCGCACCCCCTGTGGCGTCGAGGAAGTGCCACTCCTGCTAGGCCCTGCGACATTGGCGCGTATAGAGACCGCGGTGGGCCCCCACCCCCAGCGCACCCCCTTGTGGCGTCGAGGAAGTGCCACGCCTGCTAGGCCCTGCGACATTGGCGCGTATAGAGACTGCGGTGGGCCCCCACCCCCAGCGCACCCCCTGTGGTGCTACGCTCTGCCGTGCCGTGCCCTGCGCGCCAGCCCTGTGTGCTATGCTGTGCTGTGCTGTGCTGTGCTGTGCTGCTGTGCGGTGAGCTGTGCTATGCTGTGCCGTGCTGCGATGAGCTGTGCTGTGCTGTGCTGTGCTGTGGTGTGCTGAGCTGAGCTGAGCTGAGCTGAGCTGTGCTCAGCTGTGCCGTGCCGTGCTGAGCTGAGCTGAGCTGTGCTGAGCAATGCTGTGAGGAGGAGGAGGGGGAAGAGTGAGGTGAGTGTCGCGGGTGTGTCGCGGGTGCGGCGCGGCAGGGAAGAAAACCAGAACCCCACGAAGCATGTGGGGGAAAAAAACACCAAAGATATTCCCAAAATGCTAAAAAAATAGTCAAACATAGTTCCCATACCATTTTTTACTATTTTTGAATATTCCCCCTGTAGAGGGACAGGCCCGACTTAACGTAAGCCCCACTCGTAACACGACTGGTAGATCAGAGTACAAAGTGCACCGCCTCCGAGTGAAGACACAGCCTGAACATCAATAGGACAACGTCGTTCCGAATTCTCGAGGGCGGGGGCTGGGTCTCGGATTGGACTGGTGACTCGGGCCTGGGAGCCCCCCCCCCCCCCCCCCCCCCCCCACACACACACACACACCACACACACACACACACACACACACACACACACACACACACACACACACACACACACACACACACACACACACACACACACACACACACACACACACACACACACACACACACAACACACACACACACACTCACACACACACACACACCACACACACACACACACACACCCACACACACACACAAACACACTCACACACACTCACTCACTGTCACTCATGCTCATCCTGGCCATCTGGCCATCTGCGTGGGACCACCCGTTGCGCCAGCAAGCGGCAGCGCGGCACCTCGAGAGCGCTGCGCGGGTTCTCGGACAAGGCCTCCCGGTCGGGGCGGCGGGGCGTCCCGGCTCAAGACCCTCCCGACCTTTTCCTCCTCCTCCTCTTCCTCCTCCTCTTCCTCCTCCTCCTCCTCATCCTCCATTTCCGCCATCTCCTCATCCTCCATCTCCGCCGTCTCCTCCCTCCTCGTCCTCCTTCTCCGCAGGACACAAAAAAACAAGAATAATGATAGATTACCCGATGAATCCTCAGGTGCGCCCCGCGCCGCAAAATGTACTGTCATACAATCGAATTTGGGGTGTCGGCCCGACTCTACGCCATTCCAGGGGGGGTTTTATCCGGAGCCCCACCGGGGACCCCATGAGACCTCGCACACTTGGCCGCCGAAGGAGAGGGTAGGAGGAAGGAGTGAGAGGCACGAGGAGCACGAGGAGGAGGGAATACGAGGAGGACGGAGCGGTAGCAGAGGGAGGACGCAGGAGTGAAGAGAAACACAAGGAAAAACAGCAGGCACACCTCGGAGACCGTAGCGAGTTCGGCTCCAATACGTATCTCCCCTCAAGATGGATTTGTTCCTGGAGCCTCCCGCTCGGACACACGTTCGCATGCATCCCCCGGATGGCCACACCAAGATGATGCTGACGCCGTTATTTGTCGACCCCTGCTGTGGAGTGCAGGACTGGCGCCAAGCCAGACGCGTTCCGTCGCATGATTGTAAGCGAAACACGTCTCAATGCGGACGCATCTTGGAGCGCGGGGATCCCAACTTATCACAAACACTTCTTGTGTGTACCCATGGCGCCGGGATGCAGACCCGTTCTGGGCTTATGGGTTCGGCAACTTGTCATTGTGGTTGGCGACGTCGCAGCATTGGCCTTCGGGACAAAACGCGTACATGCACAGCACCAGCAGATGAGCAAGATATTGATTCCAGGAGGGGCGTCTGGCGGGGGTGTCGGAGACAGCTGCCGTTTTCCTAGCAGGAGGGTGTTGAAAACTGCCAGCTCGGCCTTGACATGCAAAATGCGTGTCGCGAAACGCCCTGCGCACGCAGGCCAGGCCACAAAATTATTCAAACTGAAATGCAATCCCCTATAGGTTAAAGGGCGGGGTTGAGGGAGCCAGAAAGGACTACAGAGCGGAAGCACACCCTCACGACGCTCAACCCTCTGAGGAATCAACCACCATCAAGCAGTTATATGTTAGTGAGGGGGTCTCCTACAGCGACCATTAGCAGGCCATGGCTGTTAACTTCTTGGCCCGCGGAATGAAAACACAAAAAAAATGACAGGCGAAGCGCCTTGAAATTTTCAAAATTCAGCTGAGCACTGATGTTTGCACGGCCTGTTTTGCCATCGGCTGCTTTGCAAGATTCAGAATTCCACGGGGCATTGATTTGTGCCAGGCATGTTTTGCCATGGGGCGATGTGTCATCGATTCAAAAGCGGGGAACCGCAGGCGATGCTCATTGGTACAACGCCCAAAGGGCTTCGCAAAAAACAGCGCACATGTTGGATTTGGCGCGCGGCGTAAGCGAGTGAGAAAGCAGCCGCTTCTCTAGGGCAACGTGCGAGCGCGTCCACCGCGCAAACGCAAACGCTACGAGCGACGGGAAACATCGTCCGCTGCGCGGCGATGCGCACACCTGTCGCGACATCACTCGAGAGCGTCGCAATCACATTTGTTTCCGTCCAACTTTGAAGACGGCGCTGCGTAACCAAAGCGCGCGCGGGCGCGCCAAAATCGAAGCAAACACGCACGCGCACACGCGCGCGCACGCACGCGCGCGCACACACACACACACGCACGTGCACGTAGCGAGCCAAACTTTTGAGTCGCGACGGGTGCAAGCTAGACGAGGGCGCGGCTAACATAATTGACGGCAGCGCAAACATCTCTCTCTCTATATATATATATATATATACATACAATATCATATGTAAATGGAAACAAAGAGAACGGATCGCGGTATATTGCCCGGCAGCCAGCCCGGAAACGCACCCGAACGGGCTCCGCGCCTCACGGGTGCCGCAAGGAGAATTGTCGAATGCCGACGCGCACTTCCGCGCCGCGAAAGGGCCCCCATGCCGCTGGAGCTTCCGCCACCGCCCCCCCTTTCCCGTAGTGCAAGGTTTCATCGTCTCAAACGCGCGGGTCCGCAAGCGATGTTGCTTTCTGGAGCGCCAGACGGCTTCCCCACGATATCCGCGCGCATGTTGGGCTTGGAGTTTAACGCGCGGGACATGAGAAACGCATTGATTATACAAAGCAGCGCGCGGCCTGGAAGAAAACTCTGATCCACCGCGCCAAAAAGAAACAAAAAAAAAAAAAATAAAATAAAAAAAAAAAAAAGAAAAAAAAAATAAACAATCAAAAAAAAAAAAAAATAAAAAAAAAGAAAAATAAGAAAAATAAAAAAGAAAAAAAAATAAAAAAAAAGAAAAAAAAAAAAAAAAAAGGGGGGATATAAAAAAAAAAAAAAGAAGAAAAAACCCTCACCCCCTCATCGAGCCCCCCCAACCCCCCCGCCCCCACACCCAACCCACCAACCCCCCCACCCCCCCCCCCCACACCCCCCCCCCATCTCCCCACCCTCTCTCCCAAAACCCCACGTCGCGCCACGCTGCGGGGGATCAAAGGCCTCCGAACGGCCGTGACCCGGCCTCCGTCGGCCTCCTCAAAAAGCTCCAGAAACATTCATTTCCAGTTGCGGCACTTTCATGTCGACTTCTATATTTTGGAAAATGCAGAATTATCCCGCGCGCGCGAGCGCCGGTGACCCGGCCTCCGTCGGCTCCCTTTAAGGGCTCCAGAAAAATTCAGATTTAGTTTCGGGAATTACATGTCGGCTTGCATATTCTAGACAGTGCTGAACTATCCCGCGCGCACGAGCGCCGGCGACCCGGACTCCGTCCGCCTCCATAAACGGCTCCGGAAAAATGCAGATTTAGTTTCGGGAATAACATGTTGACTTATATTCTGGACAATGCAGAATTCCCCACGCGCGCGCGGGTGACCCGGCCTCCGTCGGCCTCCTAATAAGGCTCCAGCAACAAAAAAAACGCGGCACTTACATGTCGACTTGAATATTCTGGACAATGCTGAACCATCCGACGCGCACGAACGCCGGTGACCTGGCCTCCGTCCGCCTCCATAAACGGCTCCAGAAAAATGCAGATTTAGTTTCGGGAATAACATGTCGACTTTTATATTCTAGACAATGCAGAACTCTCCAGTGCGCGCAAGCGCCGGTGACCCGGCCTCCGTCGGCCTCTTTAGGGGGGCTCCAGAAAAAATCTGATTTAGTTTTGGGAAGCCAATGTCAACTTTTATATTCTGGATAATGCAGAACTCTCTACGCGCGCGCGGGTGACCCTGCCTCCGTCGGCCTCCTTAAACGGCTCTTCAACCAGCCAACCTGCCTACCAGCCGGCGCACCAGCCAACCAACGCACTGGACTCAACCAACCAGACGGCGCACGCGGAGCCTTACGTGTACATACTTGTAGATAAGCGAGGATTATCGCGCCCCGCGATGCGCGACGCGCGGTAAACTTCACGCCCCTGCGCCGCCGCCCTGGACAAGGGCGGCTCTCCTGCCCAGGCCGCGACGCGCGAGGCGCGATAATCTTCGCGCCCCCGGGGGTGACCAAGTGCAAGGGCCTTGGGCGGCCACGTGTTTCCGAAACATGAAAACCCACGGATGCAAAGCACAAAATGCGCATGCAGGCGCACAGTGAAGGTCTTGACCTAAGGTGTGGCATAAGGAACTAATGCCCCCACCTCGGCATGCGGATACACGTGGGGGCGACAGCTCCAGCGCGCGCCCCGCAAGGAACGGGGGGGCCCGATATTGGAGCTGGACCATAACGCAGCCACCGTGCAAATAAGTCGAGCCAGTGAGCTCCGAACCGCGCGGCCGAAGGAACGGGGGGGCTCTTGCGAGGAACTGGACTTCTATGCCTCATACCTTGGCATGCGGATACATGCAGGGGCGACAGCTCCAGCGCGCGCCCCGCAAGGAACGGGGGGGCCCGAGAACGGAGCTGGACCAGAATGCAGCCACGGTTAAATTATGTCGAGCCAGTGAGCTCCGAACCGCGTGGCCGAAGGAACGGGGGGGGGCTCTTGCGAGGAACTGGACCTCAATGCCCCATGCCCTGGCGCGCGGAACGGGCGACAGCTCCAGCGCGCGCCCCGCGAAGAACGGGAAGGCCCCGGAGAGGCGCAGGGCTTATACGCGACCGCCGTCGCACTACGTCGAGCAAGCGCAAGGAACCGAGACCCCCGTGGAGCCCCGTTCCTTAGACCGCCCGCCCCGATCGACAAAACGAACCCGCGCGTCCAAAATCGCAAGGAACACCGGGGGGGCTCGCCGCCAAAAAGGCAGCGGAACGCATGCAAACCTAAGGAACGTCCGAGCCCCTTTTGAAAAGTAAGTGTTCCTTACTCAAGGCGCTCACTGTGCGCGCCTCCGTCGGCCTCCAGAAAGCTTCACAGAAAAGTTCAATTCAGTTTTTGGATTTACAAGGCGATCTTCTCATTGTGGGCAATCCAGAACTTCCTGCGCGCGCCCGCGCCGCGGCGCGCGCGCGTGGTGAGTTCTGTATTGTCCACAATAAGAAGATCGCCCTGTAAATCCAAAAATGAATTGGACTTTTCTGTGAAGCTGTAAGGAGGCCGAGGGGAGCGCGTAGTTCTGCATGTGGACACTACAGAACTCACCACGCGCGCGCGTAGGGAGTTCTGTATTGCCCACAATGCTATGCAGAACTACGCGCCTCCGTCGGCCCCCTTACTACTTCACTTTCAGTCTTTGGCTTTACAAAACGATCTGCTTATGGGGGGCAATCCAAACTCACCACGCGCGCGCGCGGGGAAACCAAATGTGAAACTGAATTCTCTGGCCCCAAGGACTCGCCGTACAATGGACAAATGCGTTGGAAACCGCAGCGCGCGCCGCAAAGTCGCGCGCGCGCGTTGGACAATGAGCGGGGAACCATATTGCGCAGCTCAAGGTCGCGCGCGCGCGCCCTTGCG